CGAAGAATTTTAGAATTAAAAAAATCGATAAATCGAAAAATGGGGAAATTGAACAATCGAAAATTCGAAACAGAAATTTGGATAAATCGTAAGTCGAAACACCAAAAGATTGAAAATTTTAAAAATCAAAAATCTGGAAAATCGAAAAATAGGAAACTCGAAAAATCGATTAATCGAGAAATTGAAGTCAGAAACGCCAAAAATTGAAGAATCGAAACATCAAAAAACTGGAATCGAAAAGTGAAAACTCAAAAGGCCGAGAAATTGAAAAAACATCGAGAAATCGAAAAGTCGAAAAACCGAAAAATCCAAATGGCCCAAAATCAAAAATTTAATTATTTTTAAACAGAAAAATTTTAGAATTAAAAAAAATCGATAAATCGAAAAATCGGGAAATTGAATAATCGAAAGTTTTTGGGTTTTTTAGTTTCTCTATTTTTAATATAGTGAACCAAAAGCTATAAGGTTATATGGCCATCATAAAAGTAGTTGACCGCAAATAAATACCCCCTTTGTGTGGTTCGCACTAAGCTTACCGGTTGGCAATAAATCATCTTCTAAACATTTCTTGCTCATATTTAACAGGGCCGGCTTTCAAAGCGAGTGGTTATTTCGGAACCCTCAGCGGCTGCAGGTAGTAAAGAAATAGTGGAGTGGTGGATTTTCATGTTTAGTGAAAGCCGCCCCTGAACGAAACCAGAAGAGCCGGTCGAGCTGCAGTGGACACGTTATTTACGACCCTAAAACCTTTTCTATTGTAAACAACTTAACTTCGACACAATGGGATGATTTTATGATGGCCATATAACCTTATAACTCTTGGTTCACTATATTTCGATTTACAAATTTTCCATTTGTGAATTTTTGTTTTTTCAATTTTTCGAGTTGACACTTTTCCATTAATTTGAGTTTTTCTAGTTTTTACTCTTAAATTTTTCAATTTTACAATTTTTGAATTTTTGAATTTTGCACTTCCCCAATTTTTCAATTTGTAGATCCAACTGGCCCAAGATCAAAAAATTAAAATTATTTTTAAATAGAAAAATTTTAAAATTACAAAAAAAATCGATAAATCGAAAAATCGGGAAATTGAATAATCGAGAATTCGCAACCTCGTAAGTCGAAGCACCTAGAGAAAAATTGGAAAATTGAAAAACTGAAAAATTGGAAAGTCGAAAAATCGAAACATTCAAAAACTGGAATCCAAAATTGAAAAATCAAAAACCTGGAAAGTCGAAAAATTGGAGAATTGAAAAACTGAAAAATTAGAAAGTCGAAAAATCGATTCATGGAGAAATCTAAAATTTAGAAACGCTATAAATTTGAAAAATCCAGACATCCAAAAACTGGAATCGAAAAGTGGAAAGTCAAAAACGCGAGAAATTGAAAAATTGAAAAAAATCGAGAAATCGAAAAGTCGAAAAACTAAAAAATCCAAAATGACCCAAGATCAAAAAATGTAATTACTTTTAAGCAGAAAAATTTTAGAATTAAAAAAAAATCGATAAATCGAAAAATTGAACAATCGAAAACCCTAGAAAATCGAAAAATTAGAGAATTGAAAAACTGAAAAATTGGAAAGTCCAAAAATCGATTCATCCAGAACTCGAAAATTCAGAAACCCCAAAAATTGAAAGATCGAAACATCCAAAAACTGGAATCGAAAAGTGAAAAGTCAAAAAGCGAGAAAAATCGGAAAATTGAATAATCGAAAATTGGAAACGGAAATTTCGATAAATTTTAAAAATCAAAGCATCAAAAGATTGCAAATTTAAAAAATCGGAAAACTGAAAAACTGAAAAATTGGAAAGTAGAAAAATCGATTAATCGAGAAATCGAAAACACCAAAAATTGAATTTGAAAAATCCAAACATCCAAAAATGAAAAGTCAAAAACAACGGGAAATTGAAAAATTGAAAAAACATCGAAAAATCGAAACATGATAAGATTGAAAAGTCGAAAAACCGAAAAATCCAAAATGGTCCAAGATCAAAAAATTAAATTATTTTTAAACAGAAAAATTTTAGAACTAAAAAACAAATCGATAAATCGAAAAATCGGGAACTTGAACAATCGAAAATTCGAAACAGAAATTCGAAGCACCAAAAAATAAAAAATTTAAAAAATCGAAAAATCAAAAACCTGGAAAATCGAAAAATTAGAAAGTCGAAAAATCGATTAATCGAAAATTTAGAAGCGCCAAAAATTGAAAAATCGAAACACCCAAAAACTGGAATCGAAAAGTGAAAAGTCAAAAAGGAAAGAAATTGAAAAATTGAAAAAACATCGAGAAGTAGAAACATAAGATTGAAAAGTCGAAAAACTGAAAAATCCAAAATGGACCAAGATCAAAAAATTAAATTATTTAATTATTTTTAAACGGAAAAATTTTAGAATTAAAAAACAAATCGATAAATCGGGAACTTGAACAATCGAAAATTCGAAACAGAAATTCGAAGCTCCAAAAAATTGAAAATTTAAAAAATCGAAAAACTGAAAAATTGGAAAGTCGAAAAATCGATTAACCGAGAAACCGGAAATTGTAAAAACATCGAAAAATTGAAAAACTGAAAAATTGGAAAGTCGAAAAATTGAACAAAAAAACCTGAAAAATCCAAAAACTCATCGACAAATCGAAACGAAAATTTTGATCTTTCTTCCAAAAAATCTCGATGTCTAGAATAAAAATTCAAGACGAATTTATAACCCGCTAGTAAATGAATATGTTACGGCTTAACATTTAAACAACATTTATTCCACAACATTGTAAGATGACGTCATCAATTCCTGAAGGGCATGAACGGATAAATGTTGATTAATGATTTACCATGATCACGATACCGTTAAAAGGTTGCAAGATTTCAAAGCATTCAATTTTGCTATTCCAAAGTCAAATCATAAAATGTTATACAATTTTCCCCCAAAAATCTCGATGCCTAGAGTAAAAACTCAACAAGGATTCATAAACCACAAGTTGAGGACCGCGTTATTTTATAAAATTTAAAAACAATTTATGTACTAACTATGTCTATTATGCTAACAAAAATCGATACGGACCGCAGACGGACAGACAGATGGATACGGGAGACTTATTTTATCAGTTACTTTTCCAATACAATTTGGATTTTTTGCGAAAATTTAGATGTCTACAGGAAAAACTCAACGGATTCATACACCACAAGTGCAGGCGTATATTATTGTAAAACCGTTAAATAATTTTAATGTAACATCTTTTGACATGATGTCATCAAATTGTTGGTGGGGACGATTAGCAAATGCATATAAAATTTGACAACAATCGGTCCGGTAGTTTCGGAGATTTGGCCAAGTATTGACTTAGCTCAAGTCACAGAAATTCCTTTATGTGTTATCTTCGTCGTCACTTCATATGTAAGTGTCAATTGTTTAGACAGATGTGAAAAATTGAACTTATCTGCGACGTTCAAAAACTCCGTAATGTACCATCAAACAGCTAAAGCCACAAACAAAAAAAGTTTGCCTTGGGGCACCAGATCTGTTTTCCAATTAAAAGTGGATAATACAAAGTCACCTTTTTTAATGTTATTTAATAATGCAAAGCTTTCCACAATACAGGATATCTCATCATTTAGCAGCTCTTTCCTAGTTACATAATATTAACAACCTGAAAAAAATCTACAACACTCGGTATCACACCAGTGCTCAATTACACGCTCGTTCACGGAATCAACACACTTTTCAAGCGCAACTATTTACTAATTCTCAAAGTACGAATTTGCCTTCCACAAAGAGATAATCATCTATTACGCACATCACTCGGAAGTCAGAACTTAACCCGCAGAAGCCGAATTCAATTAAAAAAAGCCATTACGTCAAGCAATTTATTCGCAAGATTGTCCATCATCCATAATAACACCTAATCACCACCGTCATCATCGTTAACCCTTTTTCTTCCTTTTGTCCCACCTCTTCCGCCGCACACATTCCCACAATGTGTAAGTCGGTACCGAGGGTTGATGTTGTTTTTCGGCTTCTTTTGCTTCTAATTTATAACACGTTCTATATTTCTATAGGTTAGTGAAGCGCGTTCAATGGACCAGAACGAGAAAAAACAGCCGGCGAAGCCTCTAGGCGGAACGACCTCTAGACTGTCGTTGCGAAGAAAGAGGAAGAAAACCCAAAGTCGGCGGGATTGTGCTATAAATAGTGCGGTACGAACAATGGGGCAGATTTTCCGTTCCTGGAAGCGGCGGTATTGTCGCAAGGACCCCAGGCGGAGCGACTTCTGGACCGTTTGAGGCGAAATCCGAAAAGTCGACTATAAATAGTGATGTACAAACAATGAGGTTTTTCGTTTCTGGTAATGACGAAATTCCGAGAAGGGGCCAGCCTTGCTTAGTCCTTCACAAGATTCACAAGTTTACCGAACGAAATTATCAAAATAAAAAATTCGATAAGAAATGGGGTCCAAATGTAAACACAAGTAAGCAGCGTTGCGTATCCTCCTGATAATTTTTTATCATTTCCTGTTGGCTCCGAAGTAAAAAAGTCGGCGATCCCCAGTCCACCTCCGCATCTTATGAATTACATAATTCGCGCGCTTGCCGCGCTAATTTCATTCAAGCTTATTCAACAAATTACTCAGCGCGCCTTCCCATTGGCAAATTCAAATCGGTAAACAAATTCAATTTTGCGAATGATGTCACGGCGACCGTTTCTCCGGTAAACGGTGCAGGCCCGCCGCCGACCCCCTTCCCGGCGCGCCCGGGGGCTGCAGCCCCCTTCGCCGCACTGCCGGAAACAAAGGAGTGCGTCGTTGCCGTTTGACACGCTTGACATTGACAGTTACGCAACGGCGACCGGACCGCGGCGAAAATTTTTCGCTTTTCGGCTTTTTCACCGCCATTTTGCCGGGGGTCGAAACATCCCGCGAGCGAGGTGTCGGCATTCCTGGCGGCCGACCGGTTCGCCGGCCGCCGATGTCCGCTTTTGGATAAGTCCGGAGAGGTTAGGGTACTTACAGGTCGTGGTGCGAGTGGTAGTAGTGCGCCATATCCACGAGGGAGCCCCGTGGGGCTGATGCACACACGTAAAGCACTCGCCGTGTTTACTTCGGTTCGACGACGGTTGATCACACGCGCCACTGCTGGACTGCGCTGGGACAGGCGGTGGGAACGGCGAAGACGTTTGGGATTCGGAGCTAGAGGCGCGTTTGACAGAGGGGGGACCTGCGCACTGGCGACGACGGCAGGGACGGACTCGGACGAGACGGGAAATGCGGTCCTTGGGTGATCACCGAGATGGTTAAGATGGGTAGGGACACTTGGCATATTTACGACTGAATTGTTTTCAGCTAGGGTCACAAGTGTCATTAAAATGTCAATAAGTTGGGGACATTCAACGTGACAAGCAGTAAAAGCGTTGAAAGTGACAGATTGACGTGGTATTATTGACAAACAGTTGTTCATTAAAAAAAAGCGTAAAAGTGACTATTAATGATTGAAGCAAATTATTTTGTTGAAAAATCTGCGTTATTGGCAGCAATGTTACTGTCTAGTGTGTCAGTTCACCAACAAACGTGTTTGGAAGATGGCAGGTAGCGGCTTGGTGTCATAAATGTCAATTTCACGATTAAGTATACCATTTCAATATGTTGTCAACTTAACAAACAAAAAAAAATGATAATTTATGGCAAGCTGCCGGCAATAGACCTTCAACGCAGAATAAACACTAAACTTAGGTTAAATTTATTATAATAGTTATTTATGTTACAAGTGTTGAAAACGGTCCATTGCATTACGAACGGGAATACGGCGCGAGACGCAGTCGAGCGCTGTATGTAAGTGAGTAATGCAATGGAGTTTTCACACGAGTATCATACAATATTTTTTGCGCTGCCTTTTTGAAAAAATAACATTTTTCAATCGCTAAAAGAATAAATATTACTGAACCGAAATTATGTTGGTATTGAATTTATAGTGAACCAAGAGTTATAAGGTTATATGGCCATCATAAAAGTAGTTGACCGCAAATAAATACCCCTTTTGTGTGGTTCGCACTAAGCTTACCGGTTGGCAATAAATCATCTTCTAAACATTTCTTGCTCATATTTAACAGGGCCGGCTTTCAAAGCGAGTGGTTATTTCGGAACCCTCAGCGGCTGCAGGTAGTAAAGAAATAGTGGAGTGGTGGATTTTCATATTTAGTGAAAGCCGCCCCTGAACGAAACCACAAGAGCCGGTCGAGCTGCAGTGAACACGTTATTTACGACCCTAAAACCTTTTCTATTGTAAACAACTTAACTTCGACACAATGGGATGATTTTATGATGGCCATATAACCTTATAGCTCTTGGTTCACTATATTACCAAATACGTCAAATACCACTAACGGTTTTTTTAATTAACAAGAACTACTAACAAACAGTAATAACATAATAGTTGTCAACAACATAAACCAAACCACCGAATAGTGTCAACTGTCAAATTACTACAAATCCAAATTTTGATCGACAAATTCCCCTATTTAAGATTACAACCTAAATTGCGCTTTTTTAAAATTTCGAGCCACTTTTTGTTATAATAATTTTAGATACATGATTATCAATTAGTAGTAATTACTTTGTGATAAACAATTTATTTTTTCAAAGCTTAAATTCCTCGTTTGTATTTTGCAGCACTAGATCCTTTTTCATTGCCATTGCGACACGCCACGCGTCAACGTAAAATGTCAATTACAACTATGGCAGCGCAAAAACATACTTTTTATAAACATATTTTTATACTTTTGATTGGCAGCAATTCTTTTATTCTTCTTTTCATGTACGCAACTTATTAAAATTTTCATTAATAAATTATTTGCTAATAACAGATCCAGGGGCGGCTCGTGACCTGAGAAGTTTATGACGCAAAGCACAAGATGGTTTGGTGGTATTTTGGCAAAAAATGGAATTTAGAAACATTTTCAACTTTTGGCTTTTTCAATTTTTGGATTTTCTGAATTTTGGCGCCCATTTTCGAGTTTTTTGGTTTTATGATTTCTAGTTTTTCGATTTTTATTTTGCTATTTAAAAATTTTGATTTATCAACATTAGATTTTTTCAATTTTTTAATTTACAGTTTTTCGATTTTACAGTTAGCTCGATTTGCCAATTTCTAGATCGTTTGTTCAGTTTTTGGGTTCTCCAGTTTCTCGATTTCAAATTTTCCATTTTTGAATTTTTGTTTTTTCAATTTTTCGACTTGACGGTTTTCCAATTTGAGGTTTTCTAGATTTCAGTCTTTAATTTTTCAATTTTACAATTTTGCAATTTTTCAATTTGTAGATATATATTTTAATTTTTCCCTATTTCAATTAATCGAGATTTCAGTTTTTAATTCAGCTTTTAGATTTTTCGACTTCTCAGTATTTTAATGTTTTACTTTCCAGATTCTAATTTTTAATTTAAATAATTCATAAAGAACAAATTTATTAAAACTAAAATTTCATGATTTTGCAGTTTTTGTATTTAAATTTTTCTTCATTAACTTTTAATTGATTTCACCGCGTTTATTTATGTTGTGTTGACTGATATTTTTTTAATAGCAACAATTTTTGAGTTTATAAAAATTCTTGAGTTTTCCGATTTTGCAATTTTTCGAATCTGTTTTAAGTTTTTCAAAGTTTCTATTTATGAGCTCCTGAATTTTTCAATTTTTCGATTTTATAGTTACTTAGATTTTTAACTTTTTCGATTTCGAATTTTCTAGTTTTTAATTTTTCGAATTTTTAGATTTTCAATTTTGCAAATTTCGTCCTTCAGTTTTTCGATTTGCAATTTTTCGTTTCTTGGATTTTTCTATTTTCTAAGTTTCCGGTTTTTTTATCAATTTTTCGTTCTTTCGATTTTTCAATTTGTAGATATTTTAATTTTCCTTTATTTTAAATAAACGATAATTCAAATTTTCACGTTTTCAATTTTTTGATTTGCAGTTTTTTTAGATTTTTCAAATTTCAGTTCTTGTTTTTACATTTTTAAATTTTGGACAAAAAGAACAAGTTTATCCAAAAAATTAAAAAATGTTATTAATAATCATACAATTTTTTGGTTTTACGATTTCCAGTTTTTTGAGTTTTCAATTTTAAGTTTTGAAAATTTTTGATTTAAAATCAACATTTGAATTTTTCAATTTTTTAATTTACAGTTTTTCGATTTTACAGTTAGCTCGATTTGCTAATTTCTAGATTGTTTATCCAGTTTTTGGATTTTCCAGTTCCCCGATTTTTAAAATTTTGATTTTGAAATTTTCCATTTGTGAATTGTTTTTTTTTTCAATTTTTCGACTTGACACTTTTTTGAGTTTAGATTTTCTAGTTTTCGACTTTAATTTTTCAATTTTACAATTTTTGGAATGTTTTATTTTTTGATTTTGTAATTTTTCGATATTTGAATTTTTCAATTTGTTGATACATATTTCAATTTTTCACTATTTCAATTAATCCAGATTTCAGTTTTTAATTTAGCTTTTAAGTTTTTAAACTTCTCAATATTTTAATGTTTCAATTTCCCAGATTTTAATTTAAATTTAAATAATTTAAAAAGAACAAATTTATTAAAACTGAACTTTTATGAATTTTCAGTTTTTAGATTTTTCAGTTTTTGTCTTTAAATTGTTAACTAATTAATTTTTAATTGATTTCACAGCGTTTATTTATGTTGTGTTGATTGACATTTTTTTAATAGCTACAATTTTTGAGTTTTTAAAAATGCTTCAGTTTTCCGATTTTGCAATTTTTCGAATCTGTTTTAAGTTTTTCAAAGTTTCTGTTTATCAGCTCTTGAATTTTTCAATTTTTCGATTTTATAGTTATGTACTTAGATTTTTAACTTTTTTGATTTTACAATTCGTCGCTTTCGAGTTTTCTAGTTTTCAATTTTTCGAATTTTTAGATTTTCGATCTTACAAATTTTCGTTCCATCAGTTTTTCGATCTGCAATTTTTCGTTTCTGGGATTTTTGGATTTTCTAAGTTTCCGATTTTTTTATCAATTTATCGTTCCTTCGATTTGTCGATTTTTCAATTTGTAGATATTTTAATTTTCCTTTATTTGAATTAAACGATAATTCAGATTTTCACGTCTTCAGTTTTTTGATTTGCAGTTTTTTTAGTTTTCAATTTTTAGCTTTTAAATAATCATGTTCTCGTTTTTGCATTTTTAAATTTTGGATAAAAAGAACAAGTTTATTCAAAAAATTAAAAATTATTATTAAAAATCCTACAATTTTTTGGTTTTACGATTTCCAGTTTTTTGAGTTTTCAATTTTAAGTTTTGAAAAATTTTGATTTAACATCAACATTTGAATTTTTCAATTTTTTAATTTACTGTTTTTCGATTTTACAGTTAGCTCGATTTGCTAATTTCTAGATTGTTTATCCAGTTTTTGGATTTTCCAGTTTCCCGATTTTTAAAATTTTGATTTTGAAATTTTCCATTTGTGAATTGTTTTTTTTTAATTTTTCGACTTGACACTTTTCCGAGTTTAGATTTTCTAGTTTTTGACTTTAATTTTTCAATTTTACAATTTTTGGAATGTTTTATTTTTTGCTTTTGTAATTTTTCGGTATTTGAGTTTTTCAATTTGTTGATATTTCAATTAATCCAGATTTCAGTTTTTAATTTAGCTTTTAAGTTTTTAACTTCTCAATATTTTAATGTTTCATTTTCCCAGATTTTAATTTAAATTTAAATAATTTAAAAAGAACAAATTTATTAAAACTGAAATTCCATAATTTTACAGTTTTTGGATTTTTCAATTTTTGTGTTTAAATTTTTCTTAATTAATTAAGTTTTAATTGATTTCACCGCGTTTATTTATGTTGTGTTGACTGACATTTTTTAATAGCAACAATTTTTGAGTTTTTAAAAATTCTTCAGTTTTCCGATTTTGCAATTTTTCGAATCTGTTTTAAGTTTTTCAAAGTTTCTATTTATCAGCTCCTGAATTTTTCAATTTTTCGATTTTATTGTCACTTAGATTTTTAACTTTTTCGATTTTCACTTTCGAGTTTTCTAGTTTTCAATTTTTCAATTTTTCCAATTTTTAGATTTTCGATCTTGCAAATTTTCGTCCTTCAGTTTTTCGATTTGCAATTTTTGGTTTCTTGGATTTTTCGATTTTCTAAGTTTCCGGTTTTTTATAAATTTTTCGTTCCTTGGATTTTTCGATTTTTCAATTTGTAGATATTTTAATTTTCCTTATTCGAAATAAACGATAATTCAAATTTTCATGTCTTCAATTTTTTGATTTGCAGTTTTTTAGTCTTTTCAAGTTTTAACTTTTAAATAATCATGTTCTCGTTTTTGCATTTTTAAATTTTGGACAAAAAGAACAAGTTTATTCAAAACATTAAAAAATGTTATTAATAATCATACAATTTTTCGGTTTTACGATTTCCAGTTTTTTGAGTTTTCAATTTTAAGTTTCGAAAAATTTTGATTTTAAATCAACATTTGATTTTTTCAATTTTTTAATTTACAGTGTTTCGATTTTACAGTTAGCTCGATTTGCCAATTTCTAGATCATTTATTCAGTTTTTGGATTTTCCAGTTTCCCGATTTTTAATATTTCCATTTTCAAATTTTCCATTTGTGAATTTTGGTTTTTTCAATTTTTCGACTTGGCAGTTTTCCGATTTTAGGTTTTCTAGTTTTCAATTTTAATTTTTTAATTTTACAATTTTTGGAACTTTTAATTTTTTGATTTTATAATTTTCCGATATTTCAATTCGAACAAATCGTGCTCCTTTCATAAATTACAAAAAATACCGAGGAATCGAACAACCAAAAAAATCCAGAAATGAAAAATTTTAAAAATCGAAAATTGAAAAACCGAAAAATCGAAATCGAAAAATTGAAAAACTGAGATTTTGAAAAATTCCCAAAATTGAAATGTTGAAAAATGGAGAAATCGAAAACTTGAAAAATCGAGAAATCAAAAAAATGAAAAGTCGAAAATTTAAAAACCCAAAAATTGAAAAAAGTTAAAAAATCGGAAATTGGAAACACCAAATAATCGTAAAATCGAAAAATGGAAAAATCGTTAATATAAAATTTTAAAAATCGAAGAACTAAAAATCAAAAAACTAGAAATCGAGAAATCAAAAAAATTGAAAGTCGAAAATTTAAAAATCCAAAAATTGAACAAAGTTTAAAATCGGGGATTCGAAACAAAAAAATCGTAAAATCTAAAAATGAAAAAACCGAAAAATTGAAGAGTCAAAAACTAAAAAATCGAAAAACTGAAATATCAAAAAATTGGAAAATCGTAAAATCGAGAAATCGACAAATTAAAATTTCAAAAGATTGAAAAATCTAGAAACCCAGAAGGCGAACAATCGAAAATTGAAAAATTTGAAATTGAAACATTTAACTTAAAAAACCCGATAAATCGAAAAATTAAAAAATCGATACGTCGAAATATCAATAAATTGGAAAATCGGAAAACTGAAAATTGAAAATTTTAAAAATCAAAAAATTTAAAAACCGATATATTTAAAAGGGAGAAGTCGAAAAATTGAAACTTCGAGAAGTATGCAGAATTTAAAAAAACGAAAAATTAAAATGTTGAAAAATTGAAAAATCGAAATACAGAAAATTCCCAAAATTGAAAAATCCTGATATTGAAACACCGAAAACTTGAGAAATCCAAAAATTGAAAAATCGAGAAATCGAAAAGTAGAGAAACAAAAAATCGAAAAATCGGGACATCGAAAAGTCGAGAAATCAAAGAATCGCTTAATAGAGAAATTGAGAAAAGGAAAAACCGAAAATTTCGAAACGTCAAAAATTGAAATATTGAAGAATCGAAAAACTGAAATCGTAAAACTGAAATATCGGAAAATCGACAAATCGAAAAATAAAAAACCGAGAAATCGAAAATTCGAAAAATCGAGAATTTGAAGAATCAACAAATTGAAAAATCCTCAAACTAAAACGTTGAAGAATTGAAAAACCGAAAAATTTAAAAGAGAAAATTCGAAAAACGGAGAAATTGAGAAATCGAAATTAAAAAATTGAAACATCTAGAAATCGAAACATCAAAAGATTGTAAAATTGAGAAGCCCAGAAGCTGAACAATCGAAAACAGAAAAATTTGAAATTCAACTTAAAAACCCGATAAATCGAAATATTGAAATCTCGATAAATTGGAAAATCGGAAAACTAAAAACAGAAAAATTTAAAAACCAAAAATTCAACACTTGAAAAATCAAAAATTTTAAAAATCAAAAAATCGAAAAACTGAAAAATCTATAAGCTACAAGTCGAAACATCAAGAGATAGAAATATCTAAAATTTAGAAAAACGAAAAATTAAAATGTCGAAAAATTAAAAAATCTAGAAATCAAAAAATTCGAAAAATAGAAAAATCGAGAAATCGAAAAGTAGAGAAATCAAAAATATTGAAGAAGCGTAAATATGTATGAAATATCGGAAAATCGATAAATCGAAAATTCGAAAAATTGAGAATTTGAATTATCGACAAAATGAAAAATCTTCAAACTCAAATGTCGAAAATTGAAAAACCGAAAAATCTAAAAGCGAGAAGTCGAAAAATCGAAAGATAAAGATATCGAAACATCGAGAAAGTGAAAAATCGAGCATTAAAAAATTCGAAAAATTGAAAATTGAAAACCGAAGTACTGAAAACCCGAAATACCGAAAAATCGAAATATCTAAAATTAAAAAAAAAAAACGAAAAATTGAAGAATCGAAAGATTGAATTAAGTAATCAAAACACCAAAAAATCAAAACATTGAAAAATTGAAATATCGAAAAATCGCAAAATTGAAAAATCCAACAACCGAAACATCGACAACTTTGAGAAATCGAAAACTCAAAAAATGAAAAAGTCGAAAAGTCGGGAAATCGAAAATTTCGAAATGCCAAAAGTTTATCCGACGGAATTTTGAGGTAACGCCATCAATTTTTTGGGAGGGGATAAACGAATAAATTTTACCCAACGATTTTCCATGATTACGATAACCTTAAAATGTTTACAAGATTTCAGAGCAATCGGTTTTGCAGTTTCAAAGTCATAATGCAAAATATTGTTATTCAGTTTTGAGTTTTTTCCAAAAATTCTGAATGTTTAATATACATTTTGGAAATGACGTCATCTCATTAGCCAAATTTTAGTTAGCATGTAACCTACATGATACTCCTAATATACACACAAAATGTGACAACAATCGGTCCAGTAGTTTCGGAGATTACTTGTCTAATATAAATGGGTACAAACACTAGACAGACCGACAGACGGAAATGGCAAACCAGTTTTTTCGTACTTTAGAGGTCATGACACGTCGAGAAAATACAAAAGTGGCAAGTCGGCCGATGGACTCGATTACTATACTTCCTTAGCTTACGCTCGGGAAGTAAAAATCGAAAAATTGAGCTGGAAACTCAAAAAAAATGCAAATCAAAATATTGGAGAAAGGAAAATCAAAAAGTTGCCAGTCGAAAAATGGTACGCCACTGCTTCCGATAAGATGATCGGCTAACGGTGGCTGATTCTTTTTATAAATATTATCATCACACTGTTAATGTATGTTTAGCAGTTGCCTCTGTTTAAATTTTAAGTCACACTTAGCCACATAATAATAGGAACTATTGTTGTTACAGTTATTTCCACAACAAACAACTGTCACTTTAATTGATGCAACCGGCTATGGAATATTTTTTAAAATATATACAAATATCTTCTAAAATAAAACTTACAAAAGCGCTAAAATGTTTCGTAAACAAGTTTTAAACAGATAAATATTTTATGACAAATTGTGATTAGCCGGTCAAGGTGAACCGATGTTCGATTGAATCCGGCCCTGTCCAGGGGGATGAACCTGGTACCTGATGACCCACCTTGGAATGCGTCATCGCGCGGGGTGCCCGCTGGTACTGGCGGGAAACAACGAAGGTCATTATGTCTTCGGCTCCCATTATTACATAACTCGAGAACCATCGACCAATATTCCCGGAAATTGGGTCCCTCATTACCGGAAACGCACATGTCTGTACCGCGAGTAATTTACATCGAAAGGAACAGCTAAAGTGCATAGGAAGTACCGTGGGAGAATCCGTAATTGCTTTCCCGTCGCCCATATGGGTCGATGGTAAACAAAGAATGACAGGTGTTTGAAACACGCGCACCGCTGGTGCCAATGTGGCGCCGCGAGCCGCCAAAATCCCCATAAGTTACTAAGTTTTTATTGGTAGGTGTAACTTCACGTTTAGTTGATTCTATATTTATTTTTTTGTCTATTTTTAAATCAGTAGTTGAGTAAGGCCGTCGTAAATTAGTTTTAATTTGAAAATCGAACCGTAAAATGTCCAAAGTAACAGACAGACCGAACAGTTATCAAACTTATAAGTTGGTTATTGTGGGTGGAGGAGGTGTCGGAAAGTCCGCAATAACGTTACAATTTATACAGGTAATTGCATGAATCACGATTATGTTTCCCTTTGTGAGGTCCCGACCGGGAAAAGGCCGTGTTCTGGCGAACAACCAGGTGTTGTTGTCCCTAATTACACTTTTCTTTATATGGAGTGAAGTGCGATTAACCTTGCATTAAATCCCACACCAGCCATCTGACACACTTCAAACGATTTCAGAGTTATTTCGTGACGGACTACGACCCGACAATCGAGGACTCCTACACCAAACAATGTGTCATCGACGACATTTCCGCCAAACTAGACAGTAAGTGCCCCCACAACCAAAACCGCTCCTAACCCCCAAGCGTTACAGTCTTGGACACCGCCGGCCAAGAGGAGTTCTCCGCCATGCGGGAGCAATACATGCGCTCAGGTGAAGGCTTCCTCTTGGTCTTCTCCGTGACCGAACGCTCGAGCTTCGAGGAAATCTACAAATTCCACCGGCAGATCCTTCGAGTCAAAGACCGCGACGAGTTCCCGATGCTCATGGTCGGCAATAAGGTAACACACGACCGGTTCTCGCCCCTCTTTAATCTCGTTCGCACAGGTGGATCTCGAGCACCAACGGGTCGTTTGGCAAGAGGAGGCCCAGCAGCTGGCCAGACAATTAAAAATTCCGTACATTGAATGCAGTGCCAAAATGAGGATGAACGTGGATAATGCCTTTTACGAACTGGTCCGCGTCGTGCGGAAATTCCAGTTGTCGGAAAGGCCGCCTTTGAAACCCGGGTACATCAAAAGAAACAAGAAAAAGTGCTGCATGCTGTGAGCCTGCACAACGCTTATTTTTGTGTACATCACTTAAGGTTTTTATTATGATAATTACACGTAATTAGGACATATCTGCACAGTTTTGCGTTGCGAGGCGGAGGTTGGACAAATGGGGCTGAGGCGGGCTGGTTTTGGGAAATTTAACACTTAGGTTGGCGACAGTGGCTTAGTTTGTTTATTTTTGAGTCTGTGTCTTTAAGGCGAAGTTGGCGCTGGAGAGGTTGACATTTACACGTTTTTATATAGAAAATTTGTTACAAATTTTGCAATAATCAGTTTAGCTGTTGTAGATAGTGGTTGTTATACTTGTGCTAAAGATGCAGTGACACTAATTTATTCCACTGCAGACACAAATTAGGCAAATTAGGTCCTTATGTAATCTGCAGATTAAAACGTTGCGCATTGATTTCAGTTATTAACAATTTATAAACACTTTCTTAAATCATAAATTCAATTCAGTTTTGTCAGAGGTTTGTCCATTTTAGTTCATTCGTTAATTAGTTGGCTTTGACATATAATGGCGCAGTTTACATAACCTTTATTTGCATTGGACTAATAGCTTGTAAGTATTAAACAATTCTTTCTTAATTGATATTTTGAAAAGCTTTTTTGCAATTTTCACTGTTCATACACTATGATAGACAAAATTTTTGTTTAGAGTAGGCCGTGATCATCGCACGTGGGGTATGACAGATGGTGGAAAGAAAAAGGATAAACTTACGTGTACTTATCACAGTCTTTCTTTATCTAAAATTTTGTAGGTCATAGTTATTTTATACAACGAAAATTTGATATTTCTTTTTCAGACAATTATACCATGAGTGACATCCATATTTACGATTAAATGACTTAATTTAAATAAAAATTGGTTTAACATGATGTTTATAATCACATGGAACCATACCGCCCACCTAGAATTTGTATTATTAAAACTATAGTCAAAATATTGCAAGAAGTCGCTCGAAAAAAAAGTCGTGACAACCACGCTGTTTACGGCCACTACGTCAAGCGACTTCTTGCAATATTTTTAGTATAGCAGCTGCCATGAAGAGATTAAAAAGGACTTAATTGCAACAACTCATTTACTCATTTGGTAGTAGTGCCTACATCTACTATATCTGTGATTTATTTCTTTGCAACAATATCAAAAACATAGTTAATACAGATTAATTTTTTTTTGCTTCAGGAAAAGTTTTAATCACTTTTTGATGTTTACATTACATGGATACAATATACAGTGTGTGTCACTTTAAGCAAGCGTTTGTTAGAGGCTTCCAATAACCACTTTTGGAAACTGAAGGTCAGTATTCACCAATTCCTGGTCTCTACTATACCGTCTAACAATAAGTTCGATCTTTGTAAGAGATTTGTTAAACAATGTGGGGAAGTATGAGGTGAAACACGCTGTATATTAATGTTTCTGCAATATTTGTTCATCTATGAGCTGTCATTCACATCACAAGTCAAAGTGAGATCAAAACTAAAAGAGTGAAAATCAGAATAAAAAAATCTGTGATAGCGTTCTTGTGCAGAATTTGATTAAAGTGACCTTGAATCTATTTTCAAAAATGAGTTGGTTGAATGGACCAAACCAAAGTACAGTTGTACGTGTCAGTTAACAGCGAGGGGCCCCATTTGTGCAAATTCCGTACTTTCCGAAACTTATAAATAGTGTAAATAATTTGTATAGCTACAAACGGGCAGACTTATTATTACTTTGTTAGATTGTTTTCTCTGTAAGACGCTGGTCGGTCGGTTAAATTATTAAAATTTAAGCGCTCGCCAGTGCTTCACGACTCGCAATTTTTTAATTTTTTTGTAAATATTTTCCCCGAGAAAATAGAGTGACAAAACACCAATTTTATTTTTATATAAATTATATTTTTCTAGGCGTGTAGCTAGAATAGTTCAGTTGCGTTGAGACAAGGATTGCCTAATGTTGTTCATTTAGAGATCTCTATGAAATTATTTCAATCCCTATTGAAGTAATTTTATGTACAATGTGCATCACATAAGTCGACGATATTTAGAAGATTATGTAATTCCGATGAGGACACTGCCATTTATATGATTAGGCAGATTTAACCCAAGAGTGTCAATTACATCTAAAGCGGTGTTACTAATGATATTTAGTTAGGAGATAATAGACTTGAACTTAATATTTTTTGACAATTTTATGTACCAAACACATTTTAATTTCAACAAAATTGTCTTCCGTTTTATTTGCTTTTTAACCAAGTAACCTTAATTGCAAGTACAGTTAGATGTAATCAACGGTGCTATTTATCACGGGCACACTATCATTTAAACTCTAGAACTGTGTGTTCTGTTAACAATAAATGTTTTAATGTACAAAAATTTATTTAAACAAAAATCAGTGCACTGGAGCTTTTCTCACATGGTACAGTCCCGAGAAGGCGTCCTGCAGCGCCCTCATGCACGCTATATTCGACCTAAAACCGCCCGCTCTCTCCTGCTCGTTCTCTGATCTGACGTGGTTGGTGTAACCTTTAATGATGACGTCTTCGTCATTGGGTAACTTAGGCCCGTCAGTCTGCATAACGAACGGTTTATAGACAAACAAAGGTCCATCTTCTGCAGGCACGGGCAAAAAAGTCGACTGCGACTGTCTCCCAATTTGTATCCCAGAGGAAAAATGGGTTTTCTTCGCCGGGGCGGCTTTAGCCTCCTCTTCTTTCGCTTCTTTGGCTTGCTGGGCGAACGTTTCGACGATGTTTTTGGCGTTTTCAGTCGAAAACATGAGTTCGTCAATGAGCGCCTCCTTCTCTCGAATTTTCTTTTTCTTAGTTTCTGTTTCTTCCATGATGATTTCTTGCTTTCGTAGCTCGGTTTGCTGCTTCTCAAACTCCAGCATCTCCTCCAATTCGTACTCCTCTCGTCCGAGTTTGCCTTTACTTTTAAGTATCTGCTCTCTATTGTCGCGTTTGTATTGTTCTATTTTTTTGTTAGTGTTAACGATGTCTATGTTATTCGCCAAGTTATAAATTATCGTTTCTACTTCCTCTAAATAGTCGTTGTATTCCGCTAAAGAGCCAAAGTCCTCTTCCTTTTTATTAAAATCGCGCAAGACGCGTTTCCGGATGTCCACTTCTTTTTCGACATTCGCGTCTTCAAATAACTGGATACGGAAGTTGTTGCGGCGTAAAGGGATGCGACATTCGGGGCAACTTCCTGAACCTGGAATGAACACGTTTTGTGAATTTGGACAGCCGCAGGGTCGCCGTACCTTTGAGAAAAAGCAAATCCACGCAGCTTTCGCATAACCCATGACCGCATACATTTACCATCATTTTGAGGGATGGGTTTTGGAATTTTGAGGTTTTGCATCGTGGACAAGTAAAATCTTCCATTTTGAGGGCCGACTGAAACGTGGATTTTGATTTCGCACCGTTACATCTCCAAATAACAAAGCAACATAACCTAAAAATTCTTAAATCATTTGACAGGTAAACATGCGGCGGTTGGTGGAAGTGGCCAAGATTCCGCGAACGGGAACGCTGCACGGAAGTATTTCCTCCAATCTTTGAATACCACTAGAATAAATAAAATATATGAACCAGGAAATATTGCACAATGTCAATTATCATTTTTATGATTTTGATGAAAAGACAAACTCAAAAAAATCGTCCATTACGGTAGGTTTTGCTTCTAACATAAAATGTGAAGTTGTTTGCAGTGGTTTTGAAATAGTATTTAAACGATTACATCACTTTGAAATATGCAACTGGAAATGTTTTAGAACTGTAATGGATACTGAAACAAAATTGTACGGTAATTCTGTATACTAAGTGTTGTCTGCTACAAGGTGCACTTTGAGCGTAAACATGGTATTTTTTTATACATTAGTGCATTCATTATTAATAATATTACGCATTTATAAGTGCATGTTTCCGTTGTTGCTACATTTCAAAAAGACTTTTCTATCTTGCTTGCGTGAACAGTTTTCCTAGCGTGTGTGTACGATCCAACATGAGAAGCCTAAGACATCATTTTGAGCACACATTAAACGCGATTCAAAGAGCCTCAGTGTTGGAACCAGGGTTTATATGTTTTGGAATTTTCAGAACGCTACTGACAGTTGCGCACAGCTATCAATCATCCGATGCCGCGTGCTTGGAAACTTTGAAATTCAATATCACAGTGTGTAAATTAATTACAGGACGTCGTATGGACAATATTACCCAAACGAACGAATTCGTCACTATCATACGCGCCTACACCAGTGACGTCTCGTTCTGGAGTAAACCAGTCTCTGTCGTAATAACTTTTGTGGTGGTGTCTACAAGCTGCGCCCTAAGCGACTTATACCAACGGAGAAAACCCTTCATGATGATGGCAGTCGTAGGAGAATTGCTCTCAGAACTTTGTTTGTTCATCTGTTATTGGTATGAAGGATGTTCGCTGCAAATTTTGGTAGCAACCGAGGTAGTTTCTGTGCTTTTTGGGGGCCAACAGTTGTTTTGGACTATGTCTTGGATTTTCGTAATTCAAAATACGCATCCAGAAAATCGAACTCCTCGTTTGTTGTTACTTCAGGCATCAAAAAATATCATCTACACGTTTTGTTTGTGGTTCAGTATAGATGTAGATTTCACTTACTTACAAGTGCACACCATGATTTTAACTTTTTTCTTTCTGACTGTCTTGTACTTCGTTTACGTCGTAAAGGACGAGAGACCCGAGCAAGAGCTGAGATGGGATACATCAGTATTTAAACAAATTCTGATTTGTAGCGTTATTGCAGACGGCATAAGCCACTTGAAGAAAATTTCGGCGAAGAAATTGTTTATTTTGGTAGCAGGATATTTAATTTTTTTCGCAAAGAATTCTTGGTCTGATGGTTTTTCTTGGACGTTTTGTTTAAGGGCAAAAACATGCCGGTTGTGTAAATTTCTGCAACGATACTGAAATTGTCGACATGTTTTTGTCCTTGTGATATTTACTTAATGACGTATTTTAGGAGAATATAGTAATGTCCTCGCTACTTATATTTACGGCATACTAGCTTGGCCATATGAAAAGGTAGCTCATTTAATATACTGTCAACACGGCTCGGCAGCAATAAGTAAGTGAACTAATAACACTGTTACTGAATCCTTTAAATAATCATTTTTTAGTTATGATCATTGTTAGTTTCATATCAAAGAAATTTCAACTGGACGGTTACACGATTCTGATTTTCGTTTATCTCAACAAAGTTTTTGGAAATGTTGTTATAGCGTCCGTTTCAAATCGAGTGATCATATTTATAGGTATGCAGATTCTATATTTGAAGTAAAAGTTCTCGTTTTTAACTTGTAGTGATAAAGTTTCAGCTATTTCTAGTGTAACTACATTTTATATGGAAACTGTTCTTTATGTAGCAATTGTATCAAAAATGGTATCGTCGGGAAACATTGGAAAATTACAGTTGTTGTTTCGCATGAATGACATGCTGGAGCCTTTAAGCCTTGCAATATCCTCATTCATTTTTGATGAACTTCTTAGTGATAAGCATGCCCCCAACACATTTCTTTATATCGGAGCTTTTATTTATTTGGTTTGTCTTGTCGTAGCGACGTAAGTATGTTGTTTCTAAGTAAAAATACTCAAATTTGATTTTTTGTTATTTCAGAATACTTTTGTGGCACAAAAAGCAGCATTCGAATGACGTACAGGTGTTCAGCAAGCCTAAATCTTAGGTTAAATATTTTTTACTATTTCCATTTTTTGATTAGAAGCACTGCACTGTCACACTAAATTCAGTCTGTTGTTTGACATTTTCGCTTTGAAAATGTACACACAGCACGTAATCCCCTGAAAGTTACTTTAAACGCGCTCACTAATTGAAAAATAAAGGTTACGTAGTGTTGCCGTCTATAGTTGTAGAATCACAATTAATCTGTTTCTAACAAAAAAAAAATTGTTTCAAAGTTGCAATAAATGGATCAATCACAAATTTCGGTTTTGATTTATTTACCTACTGTGGACGCTGTCGTCCTCAGTACTCTTTATACTTCACCATATACCATTTATATGGTACTAGAAAAAATGTAGCCAAAAGTATTGTTACGAAATAAACCCATACGCCGCCCCGGTACGACGCTTATGGGTTCTAGTATGTACAGCGATGATGACGCGGAAGTCGCATGGGCAATCCAGAAAAACCTCGAAGCGGCGTTCTCGATCGATCTAGAGGGACGTATAGGGAACGAGGATTATTCAGTTAAGGGGACTCGCTAGACGAGGTATAACATTTTTTTGGTTTGAAAAAATGATATTAATATAGATGTATCATACATAAAACTGCAGCTTTTTTCATATTCTAGAGCGCAGAGACCAGTTCAATCAACTAAAAAAATATGGATGAGAAATATCGTAAAAAAAAGCACCATTGTATGTTTTCTTTTCAAGTTTTTTGAGTCATAACCATCATAGAATCGCTTGAAAATTCGCACATGGATAAAACGTCACTTTTTACAGGGCGCAGAGTCATTAAATCTTTGTTAGTGGTACAATTTGTTTAAATAATAATGTGTTTATTAAAATCAAAATATACCACAAATTAATGCAAAATACGTCGAATAATTTTAACAGGAATATCAGAGAAAAATTAATGATCTATTGGTTAGCAGAGTTTTTAACAAAAACTAACAATTATTGAAAAAAAATGGGTATCAATTCGACAAAGTGCTCGTATATGTTTTCATTTGCCGAGAGATCATTTTCAAAATATATTTATCACAAAAATATGCAAGTCTTGGTGATGAAAAATGTAGGTACTCCTAATAAATTATTAAAGTACATAAAAAATAGAAACAAATTTTATTTATTAAAAAAAAATCTCTCGCAAAGGCAGGTTCCTCTTTCTTCTTGAATCAATTATTTCAGGCAATAAAGCGCCAAAGCAAAATCTGCCAAGTTTATCTGCCATCTTTTTACATATATTTCTTCGTCTTTATAAATTTTTTCTATATTTATTCCTTTGGATGTCCATACAACAAAATAAACTTGTGAAATATCCGTAACAAGCATTTGTCCCTGGACTTGAAAGTAATAATTATGATTCTCTTTTTAGTTTCAATTCTCTGTCTGTCAATGTACAAAATTTGATTATTTTTTTTTCTAACCGCTTCTTCGGGAGACAAATCTTGCGATTTTGAAGGGCATTTATACTTGTCCAAAAGGTATAAGGTTATATGACCATCATAAAATTAGTTGACCGCAAATAAATACCCCCTTTGTGTGGTTCGTACTAAGCTTACCGGTTGGCAATAAATCGTCTTCTAAACATTTCTTGCTCACATTTAACAGGGCCGGCTTTCAAAGCGAGTGGTTATTTCGGAACCCTCAGCGGTTGCAGGTAGTAAAGAAATAGTGGTGTGGTGGATTTTCATATTTATTGAAATCCCCCCCTGAACGAAACCACAACAGCCGGTCGAGCTGCAGTGGACACGTTATTTACAACCCTAAAACCTTTTCTATTTTAAACAACTTAACTTCGACACAATGGGATGATTTTATGATGGCCATATAACCTTATAGCTCTTGGTCCACTATAATTTCGACTAATGCACTCCTATCCTCTAGAACCCTGTCTGGACTAGCAGCCAACTAAGGAAATTGTTTTGAAATAAACAAGCCACACCGTTCAGTTTAAATTTTTATTTATTTCAAAATACTTGACAGCTTTTTCCTCACTTTGCTGTCCATAGTATGACTGTTACTTCTAAATGTACTGTACAACAGAGACTCCACAGTTTTAGCTATTGCTGTAGTCGGTCTAAGTTTGTAAATACGTCCAAAATTTGAAACCGTAACCCTAATTTCTCTTTCTTTTGCCCAAATGTGCCTGTTGCCTAGTGTCTATTTCAATTTGGTATAAATTCAAAGATAATTTTCTCAAAAAAACCTCTTTGGCTGTCACAAATGTTTCTACATTCATAACAGGATTTTCTAAAAAATATTTAAACCATAATCGCAGTCGGGACCAGCATACGTAAATTTTTTTACGACATATTTTTTTACGAATACTTTGTCTAAGACGAACTTGTTTTATAGACGAACAATATTTTTTTGTTATTAAACCAAGACCGTTTTAATCACAATATATTTACTTATCCCCTCTAAAAAATTGATGACGTCACCTCAAAATTTTGCTGTATAAATCCTATCTAAATTGTATAAAATATGATGAGTCTCTTCTTGTGATTTATCATTCCATTCATGTTTTTTGGATTTGCATATACAGGATGACCCCAAAAATTAATGAATGCGTAAATTTATTTTATTGATTTAATCAGGAACTACAGAACCCAATGCTTTGAAATCTTGCAAATGTTTTAAGGTTATAAAGAACATAATACATTTTTAGCCAAAATATATTTGCTTATCCCCTCCAAAAAAATGATGACGTCAGCTCAAAAGTTTGCCGTATAATCCTATTTAAAGTTTACAAAATATGATGAGTGTCTTCTTGTAATTTATCATTCCATTCATATTTTTTGCATTCGGATATACAGGGTGACTCAAAAAATTTAATGAATGCGCAAATTTATTTTATTGATTTAATCAGGAACTACAAAACTGAATGCTTTGAAATCTAATGTGAAAAAAAAAAAACATAATAGGCATGCAGTCGTCACGTTTCCGATAGCGAGGGAAGTACTGTCTAAACTCTTTAGACCAATTTTTTTGATTTTCCCATTTTTCCATTTCTCAGTGTTTCAATGTTTCAGTTTGGGATTTTTTCACTGTTTCGATTCTTTAATTTTCCTTCCATTTTTAGGTTTGTCAATATTTCAGCTTCGGAATTTTGCAATATTTCGTTTCTTCAATTTTCAAATTTTTGATATTGTGTTTTCTCGGTTTTTAAATTTTTCGATATTTTAATTTTTCAGTTTTTAAAGTTTTAGGTTTTTAGATTTCTTACTATCTCGACTTTTCGATTTTTCAGTTCCATGATTTTTCAATTTGTCGAATTTTTAAATTTTAGATTTTTTGTTCTCGATCATTCAATTTTCTGAGTTTTCAGGCTTCAGATTTTTTTTGTTGTTCAATTCTTGAATTTTTAAAATTTTTGTTTTTAAAATTTTCCTATTTATCAACTTACTGGGATTTCAATATTTTGATTTTTTGATTGTTCAATTTATCGATTTTATATCTCAGTTTTACGATTTTAAATTTTTTATTTTTAGTTTTCAATTTTTGACGTTTTTAAATTTTTCGATTTTTCAATTTTTCGATTAACTGATTTTTTGCTTTTCCCATTTCTCTATTTCTTGATTTTTCAATTCTTTCTTCAATTTTTCAATTTTTTCTTCAATTGTGATTTTTCAATTTTTCGATTTTTAAGTAATAAGTAATAAGTAAATTTAAGTAAATTTATTTCCAGCAGACAATTATGTCTCTAGTGGATACAACAACATTACAACACAGCAACTACAATTTTCAGTATCTTATTCCTAATCCCAACGTTACAAAAATTATTAAAGAAAATGTCAATATTTTGATCTCTGCTAATAATATAATTATACAAACGAATACAAGCTATTAGAGGACTATTGAAGTGGTGAAGTGTGTTTGGAATGTTATATGAAAAACTTATCTGGATGCGGCTGCCTAATCTGGGTACATTAAATTTAATTTCATTGAGAAGAGTTTGACTATAAATTTGTCCCGTTACAATTTTTTGTAAAAATATCAAACATGACATATTCCTCCTACTAAGTAGAGAATTTTCACTAACAATGTCAAGTAAACTACTTTGATCACAGTGTCTGACAGGATATCTACCAAACATCTTAAAATATACATACTTCGCAAACTTTCTCAGTACATTCTCTAATAGATCTATATATGTTACATGGTAAGGTTTCCATACTGTACAGCAATATTCTAATTTTGCTCTAACCAATGTATAAAATAATAATTTAATGCATCGAGTATTAGAGAAGTCTTTCGTATTTCTATAAATAAAACCTAATAGTTTCATAGCATGTTTTGCGATATGTATAACATGTGAATGAAAAGAGAGCGTACTATCTATAATGACACCTAAGTCTAATACTTCTTTACAGTTTTCTAGAACGTATCCTCTAATGTTATAATAAAAATTAACTGGATTATGTATTCTGGCAAACGTTATTTTTTTGCACTTAGTTTTATTAACAGTTAGCAAGTTATCATCACACCAGTTAAGTAAACGATCTAAACTATTTTGTAATTCAATGCAATCTTCAACATTCGTTATAACCTTTGCCATTTTTAAATCATCTGCATAAATAAGTGTCTTACAGTTTAAATATTTCACAACATCATTATAAAATATATTAAACAAGAGTGGTCCTAGGTTTGACCCTTGTCCCACACCACTGTTAACACAATACCTATTCGATTTAAATCCACCATAACTCACAAATTGATGTCTGCCTGTTAACAAAGATCTAAAAACAAATATTAAACTATCACATAAACCAAAACTTTTCAGTTTTTTTAATAAAATACAATGATGCACCTTGTCAAATGCCGCACTCAAGTCAGTGTATATGGCATCCACTTGCAAACGATTGTCTAACGCTTCTGATACAAATTGAGTATATTCAAACAAATTAGTCACTGTTGATCGCCCCTTGACGAAGCCATGCTGTTCAGGCGCAATGTTAGGTGCAACATGTGAATAAAGAATATCAGACAGTATACATTCAAATAATTTTGCGATATTTGAAATAAGAACAATAGGTCTGTAATTTTTTACATTTTCTTTATCACCTGACTTGAATATGGGAACTACACGAGAGATTTTCCATACACTCGGACATGCACATGATTGTAGAATTAAATTAAATATGTGACATAATGGCGGCAACAGGTAATTTATGCAGTCGACAATTAGAGATTTCTGGATTTTTCAATGTTTCAGTTTTGGATTTTTTCATTTTTCCGATTCTTCAATTCTCT